CGATATTGTACACTTTATATCTTAGCATCTACGCATACATACATACTTCGGCCGGTTATCTGTATTTTAACGCGCCCCCGCCTCGGCAAACTAAATCCAAAGTTAATATATTAACTTAAATAAAAACAAGTATTTTCGTAACTTCCATAAAATACACACAGCCGTTGCCTACAATTAAACACACGGAATATTTTAAAAGCCATTTCCATTAGTTTATCACTTGACCTCGTTGCGCGCACTAAAACGTTTCAACTTGTATTTCATTCTGAATTTTAACAATTTACTAACAATTATAACCCAGTAACGTATTATACAACTACATATAATATTGCAATAGATATAAATGTCGGAAATGTGTATTAAAATGCTTACTAGTGGATGCTATACTAGCGGACCCGACAGACGTTGTCCTATAAACACGACTTGAATCCAACAACTTAATAACTAAAAAAAAATATAGTGGACCGAATTTCATACAAAAAATTTCATTATAATCGGACCAGCCGTTTTGGAGGAGTACAATGACATACACTTATTTTGTTTATTTATATACTTTTCAATTATAAAAAATATATTAACCTTGAATTGTATAATCAAACAATAGAAAATTTTAATGTATTTTCATTATGAAATGATCCTGTAATTTTATTTAGTCGTGTAGAGTTAGTGCTTTTTAAGCTATCGATGACCTACATCTTCGTTACATGGTGATCAGTGCTCCCGAGGACAAATGAAACCGTTCAATGTCTACTATGTCTTATCTTATGTCCTCCGACATAGCAATAATCTCGTGCCAACTCATCGATTACCACGTACAATGCGTCAGCCATGATCTTCCTCGCATTATCTCGAATACAATAAACGTCTCTCCCACGTTTTTATAAATCTGCACGTATCTACATTGCATGACATCGCATCGGCAATGATCAGCGTAAACGATCTGATAGTTCTTACACTCATTGCAATTGTTATCGTAGTTGACGATATTCAATTTGAATTTTTAAATCAAATCTTCTTTAACCTGCGTGCCTCAGAAGGAAGGAAAGCGCGCGTATTTAGATATGTTACATTTTGTAAGCTGTTTTGACATTGATTTTTACACAGTCCGCTGCGGCATCTATCCCGGTTTTTACCCTATTCTTTCCAAAAAGGCCGGCTACGCCCTTCGGTATTGCAGATGTACATGAACGGCTCGTTTGCCACCTTTTTTCATCATAAAACCCAGATGAGGCACGTTACTTGTCCCTCGACACTTGAGGCTATATAACATAGCTACTGCGCCAACTAACCAGTCATCTTTAAAATTTCTGTAGCGTTTAGAGATAGCGATCACAGTGTCACTTGTCCGTATTGCTTATTATATCCGTTTGTTACTATTCATACCCTTAAAACAATGTTTATTAACTTTCGAATCTTCATCCACACGAAACAAAAAACCCAACAGCTGTTTGCCATAACGCTCCGAGAGACGTGACCGTGTGCCCGAATTTAGAGCGTGAAAAAATAAACCAATTTGTCGGGAAAATTTCCGCATCTTCGTTTTCACTTGTTGTTTATTTTTTATTTGATACAAACAAACTTCTGCCCTGAATAACAATTAAATAACGAGTCAATGTTTTCGACAAGAATTTATTAAAATAGACTGTTGTTATATTCCCGTTACTACACTTACCTTCTTTTTTACAGTGTTGTTTAAAGTAATGTTTCATGTTGTTAAGTTAGTAATGTTTCAGTTTTAGTTCTGTACATGTGAGAACAAAACGTGTGTAATTATCTGCGTTTCTTAAAGCGATTTAACAGAATCGACGCCTAATTACTTTGTCGCCGTTATTACGGTTCCCTACCCAAAGGGGAAAACGGGACCCCATTACTAAGACTCCGCTGTCTGTGTGTCTGTCTGTCCGTCTGTCACCAGGCTGTATCTCATGAATCATGATAGTTAGGCAGTTGAAATTTTCACAGATGATATATTTATGTTGCCGCTATACTACAAAATAGCAAAACTATACTAAAATACAGAAAAAAATATTTAAATGGGGCTCCCATACAAGTTTTTATAGATAATGTTACGAAATCCTTCGTTCGAGAGTCCGACTCGCACTTGGCCGATTTATTATATCCAATAGCTCCAGCTACCGCTTAATCGAGAACAGTCAACGGCCATCGGGTCACGGTCCGTACCGAACCTCGAATGCCCGTAGGCGACACTCCTCCCTTAGCGCACGCATGAGTACATGCGCGGCCCTAACATTGTGGGGGGCCTTTCCAAAACCCACTGCTTCTGATGAAGCTTCAAAAGTCTACGGAAAGAAAGCGCTAACTTCAGTTACAACAAACAAGCAACCAAGACGACGGAAGTAAACTAGAAGTGCATTGTGTTATAATACAACATACATAAATTATCTGTAACTTAAATTGTTACGCTCCCAGGATTTTTACCTGCCCGATTATGCGCCCAGACGCTCTAGTCACTAATCTAAACGGTCCATATAGGTACTCACCGCTCCAAAATCTTGAAGTTCTATCTATTTTGTTTTAATTGAATTTTTATCAATTCTTGGCGTCATGTAATGTGTTTCCTGTAAAAGTAGACGCCATAATATCTAACGCTTAAAGAATGCCTTATGAAGTACTCTCGTTCTACACCAATATTAGAAAAGAAAAAAATGACTTCCTGATAGTATGAGACTACCGCTACCCATACAAAAAGTAATAATATTGATTAAAAACAAACCAGACTTCAAATATTTCACTTAGTGACACATTTTCTATTTGATATTTCCTGGTGTATCTCCGAAATCCATGGTGCAATGTCAATGATATATAAATAGGAACCCCCTGAAAATGTTCACCAAAACCCTTCCAACAAAAAAATAATTTTATAAGTCGGTACTGAGTCGGTCGTTTCCAAACGGAGTACTGATGTAAATTAAAAAAAATATAAATAGAAACGAATTGAGAACCTCCTCATTTTTGAAGTTGATTATTATTTTAAAAATAATTATAAATAAGGTTTCCTGAATTATATTTTCAGGTAGTTTAGCCAACGTTGTAAAGAATCTTGCAAAATTTATGTAAATAAATTAAGATCGTTTGCTTCTTTAGAAGTCCTCAAAGCGATTCATGAAAATAAATTAAGATTTTCGCTTTATAAACGTTATTATGGCTATAAAAATGAGAGATAAAAGGGGAATAGGACTTTCCTCCAACAGTAATATCAATTATGGCGGAGAAATCTCGATCCATTTGTAAGTGGCTATTAAATTGCTGTGGTTTCATTGACACTGTCCGCCTGTTTTGTTATGAAATCGAAACCTATAAAGTTCGCGGACTTTATTAATTTCCTTCATAAAAGAATTTAAACAAAAGTTATTAAACATTTTTGCAGTTGAATAATTTTCGACATTTTACTTACTTATCATTGAACTTCAATATCTAATAAAAATAGTCTTAAGTCTAATGCGCTTAAATTCTGGCGCACCTTAATATTGTGCCGATTTTTCTCATTATTTTCCCAAAATATTCGCCGAACAATACTCGTCAAAAAATTGATTTACCCTCGTAACGTATTTGTTAAGGTCGCCATATCGTCATGGGATCAGGCAACATTATGTTTCTCAACCAGCTCATAACCCACGAGGGTATTAATTGACAATAAAGCCCCAAGTGAATTCAAAGAACGTACGCTCCGTTGTGAATGCTTTACAAATAAAAGAAATATTCTTTGATTGTGTTACCATGCGATGAAGAAAGCTGCTTACACGGATATTATCGATATTTTATTATACTCTTTAGATAAAACGTTGAGTTAACGAAGACATCAAACGACGCACTAATATAAACATAAATTTCGTACATATGATGTTGATTACAATTTTTATTCAAAAAATTAAAGATATTTAATTTTCAAACTGAGAACGCCTTAATTATAAATGTTCATAAAAGTTAACAGAAAATACTTTATTATTTATGCCCTATTTTCACTAAACACAAAACGTATATTATCAAACAGATATTTCTTCCGAGATAATACAAACAACGTACTCGAGCATTGCATGAATCCCTTTGACGTTCATTGAAAGCATGGGCATGACAAAAACAAATTTTTAAACCGAACGGGTCCCAGCGACCGTTTTGTGCGAAGTATTCCGGTCGTACATGGGACAAAAGTCCCGATTCAACACAAACAGCGTATTGCCGGAATGCCGAACAATAGAATAATAGCCGACCGCTACAAGGAGAGGTTTATGCAAGCTTATCCCTGGAACATTGCGGCACGGATAAATCTTACAAGCGGCCTGCAACTTAGAATGCGATTTACAACGCCGCGTGGGAGCTAGGCCGCAGGAACAAACGCGCAAACAATGACACATGATCGATATTGTTCAGTTCCGTGTCAAACTGCATCCGATGGACGCGATCCGAACCACATAACAAACATTATCACATGATGTTTTGGTTTTAGCGTCGAAATATGATGCAATGGCTGCAGAACGACTATTCGATGTAATTAGAATAAGAGGAAGAGAAATAACGTTGATAAATTAAGTTAATTATTCCAAATTCATTCATAGGTATATGTATTATGCTAAGTGAAATCTAAGTAAATCGGTAGAATGATCCAATTGTATCCAATACTTTGATTAGACGAGTACGATTTCCAATTATTTACAATGACATTCCTGATCACTTTACATATTGATCTGTTCGTAGTAGAGACTCTTGATCAAAGTGACTAAGTCATACATTAACTTTTGATGTTACATAAAGTCTAGCTCGAACAAGGAAGTACCACGGTCTCACAGAAAGTCTGCATGAGGTATGAGTAATTGTGCGGTGGATTAGGTAAGCGAGGGCCTGGCCTTTTTCAAGATCCAAAAGGAAATTCTGGTATTGCGGGTGTATGTGCACCGTAAGCCACTTGCAGGAATTGTACTCTTTAAAATCGCAATGTTTCCATTACAGACACGATTCAGAGAATGCCCGCGTATTAAGGAGCTATGGACCCTCTGACGTGGCTCTCACTGGGGCTGCAGTTGGCAGCCTTGTGCTGCATAGTTGGGGCGCTGCTGCTGTATTTGCTTCGGAAGGTGCGCGTGGCGGAGGTGCTGCCGACGGACAGCGCCAAAACCGTCCTGGTGACGTCTGTGGACACCGCGCTTGGCTTACAGGTGAACGTAACAAAGACACACAACCAACCAAGAAAATTAATAGCCATTTTATATAACAGTCAATTCGATTGGAAGAGTCTGTACATAAATTATGTTATAAAAATATTTCTTTATTCAACACTACCGCTCTGAAATAAGGCTAATTAGCTTTCAAGTCGTTTATTATGATAAATAAGGGTCGCTCGTTTGCGTGTAATTGAATAAATTTGCTTAGAATGAAGTGTATCATTTGTTTGTATTAAAAACCTTTTAGTAAATTTATCCTTTTAAAGATAAATTAAAATTTGGTCGTGATCTGTTAAATCCGAGAAAGTCAAAACAATTAGTCGTAGGGGCGAAGAACTTTGTACTTCGGAGCTGCAAATGTTTTATAAAAAGTTCTTTAAAGAGAAGTCTAAACATTCGAAAAGTAAAATAATAAAGCTCTAAAAAAGTTTAGCCTTTAACACTAACCAGGGAGACACAGCAGGCTAATTGAACGAATTAGCTGACGAGTTCCAGGTGCAATCAGCCACGTGTTTTCTGTTTTTCGGATTTTTTATAATGTATATTCCGTTTTACTTTACAGATAGCAACATATCTGAGCGAGCGCGGTTGGCGCGTGATAGCTGGCTGCCGCTCTGGAGGGTTGGGGTCTCGTCTCGCAGAGTCCTGGCTTCAAGCCCACGTCGCGGCCACCCCCGAGGATCTGCCCCCGCCTAGACTAGCCACACTTGAGCTTGACGTGGCTCGAGAAGACCTATTAGAGGAGGCTGCACGAGCCACCGCGCAACATTTACCGGCTGGTGAACATGGTACTCTGTTTATTATTAACTAATTTTTTATAGGTATCTTAAGATAGTACAGACTAAATAATAAATGCAGCTTTCGCAAGGAAGATATTCTATGAAAGAAACAAAAATTAAATAAAGAATAAAGAAAAACGTATAAAATGTAAAAATATTTTAAATGAAATTATTGAAGCGAATGTTGATTGATAATTTTATAGCATATTATTTTTAACCACGAAATTGATTGATAAGGTTATCAAAAAACAATGCACTGCCCGGGAATCGAACCCGGGTCGCAAGAATGGGAATCTTGCATGATACCACTACACCAGCAGTGCTTGCTAAAGAGTGTTGAAAAAATAGTACATATACAATTTTATTTTATTTTTTTAATATCTTTAATAATTTGGTTATTATAAGTTACATCATTTTCTCTTATTCTTAATATTAATGAATGATAAATAATACTTATTGTTATCAATCTATAAAATCATTGAAAGCGCCATCTATCGAGATATTACTTTTTAGTTAGGTAGGTGTTATATTATACCTACAAACGCTGCGATTAATAAGTGAGTGTCATCTATTGCCTTGGTTTAAAGAATATGATGAAGATGGCGCTTAACTAATTACATATGTAATAATACCGAGAGCTTTTCTTTAGAGCTATTTTTTTTTATTTGTGTACCAAATAAATATAAAAACATATTTTCACACAGCAACTGTGAAACCACTAAGCTTTTTACTAGCGTAAGTTAGTCTTAATATTTTATTAGTAATTATGAAATAACAAAACAAAATACAATAAATAATTTCTATCTATAAATAAATATAAAACAATAAATATACCATAACTAAAATAAAGTATAACCATAACTCCCCGTTTACATTACTTTTGAGTAATTAAGTTGCATACGCTTACTTTTTTTTTATCCATTTAATTTTTTCATGCATTTACCGTCCATAAACTTAGGAATTTAATTCCTAAATTACTTTCCTAAACTTAAAACAAGTAACATCTACAATAATGAAAAATACTATCTAAATTATGTCCAAATCATCTTATCCATAGAAACGTTCCTACACCTAAACATGACTATTGCCCCCTTCACAAGAAAAAAAACATCCAATTCAGGTGACATTGGATTCTTTTTCTTATATACAAAGAAAGTACAAAGTGTTATACTACCAAATTATAACTCAAACAAAGAAAATACAAAGTGTTATACGAACCACAAAGCTGGAGTATCCCACACTGAGGCACAGCACAAAAACAAAGACAAGACGTTTAATCAAAATTTGTAAAAAAATGTAATATAACAAGTTCAATACTAAACAGGGCCTGATTTAGGGGAGGGCAACCAGGGCAACAGCCCCCGGGCCTCCACAAAAGAGGGGCCCCCACAATAGAGACTTCAGAAAAAAAAAATCAAATTCAGACTAGTAAACAATAGTAAACAACTTTTTTTTTTCGAGTTTTACTTTTACCTACAGTACTTTGTATAAACATGATTACATTAAATATTTACAGAAAATAATAGAAAATAATTTTGGGTCAAGGGGCCTCCACTTTTTTGTTGCCCCGAAGCCCTGTCTTCTTTAAATCTTTCCCTGATACTAAACATAATTAATATCAATGAGATTGGTAAGACTGGTAGAGTTTTAACAATTTGTTAATATCGGGTTTAAATTGAGTAACATCAGTCGCAAATCGCCACGTTCAGGGATCTGTAGTCTTTTCCTTTTGTTGGACAGTAAACTAGCTACTGTACTCAGTCAAAGAGATTGAGAAAGCGATTCAGACATCTTTCGACTAAACTGTGGCAAGGCAACAATTTTCAATGTTGCACGATTGAGCACGTCCATCCGGGAAAGTACCACGACCGTCGCGGCAGTGTTCTACTTCTGCGTTTAATTTGGTGAGTGAGGTAGTCCACTTTATTAAAAGGTAGCACGCTTCTTTCTTTGCTTACCAACTTAATTTCATAGTCTTGATACCGACAGTCCTATGTGAACGAATTAGTAAATACTTTATGCTTATACAAATGTTTTAATGTTTATTTACGCAATAATAATATGATAAACATTTTACACAGCTAGATAAAATGTCGTTTTATAAAAATAGAGCAATTTCAAAGTATTTTATTCTATTAAATTTCTAGTTTTTTGAACCTGCATGCCGCCGTTGCCAAGGAATCGGCTTCGGCGTCCGGGGCCGTGGGTTCGATTCCCGCACGGGTCAACTATTTGTGTGACCCACGGATAATTGTTTCACATCTGGGAGTTTGTCCACGTAAAATTTATGTTTGTAAAACTTCCTAAAGTAAGGGCCATGTTTTTAAAAAGAAAAAAAAATGGGTAAGTACGCCGCGACCGCCACCTCGGCTGTCATAGCGCCCCCATTTGCCTGTGGACCCGCTACCGCCCCCAGGAAAGGCTCCAGCGTCCATTAGGGGGCGGTACCACGCTCTATATTAACTCGACGTGATTTACGCACACGATAGAAATTGCTTAGAAATTGAATTTTTTTTTTTTTTATGTGAAAAGTTGCCAAACGAGCAGACGGTTCACCTGATGGTAAGTGAATACCGCCGCCCATGGACATATTTGGCATACTTCCACTTTACGCCGGTCTTCTGTGAGGTCGTGGTACTTACCCGGACGGGCCTGCCCATTCGTGCAACAGCCGAGGCTGCTGCGTGGCCCTACCACCGTGGGCCCTACCACCGTTACGTGGCCCTACCACCCTACCAATTCTGAATGTTTAACTGTGGTGGGCCCACGAATGGGCAGGTCCCTCGGGTAATATGGTCGTGGGACCACACAGAAGACCAGCGTAAAGTAGAAAGTGTTACACTTCTGCGTTTCGTCTGGTGTGTGAGGCAGCCGGGGCCCAATTGATTTAAAGGTGCGCTACGTTTGCAAATGTTATGGGCGGCGGTTATTGCTTAACATCAGGTGAACCGTCAGCTCGTTTGTCACTTTTCACATAAAAATATGACAATTTAAAACTTTATGTAGAAAGGCTTAGGAAGTTTCCACGATTGCGCAGGCGTGTGGGCGGTGATCAACACGGCTGGCAGCAGCGGCCGCGGGGGCGCGTCATGCTGGGAGGCGACTTTGCGCGCCAACGTGCTCGGCGCGCTGCGCGTCGCGCGCTCCTTCGCGCCGTTGCTCGCCGCCGCCGCCGCCGACCACCCGCACGCCGGCCGACTCTTCTACATAGGTTGGTGGTTCAATCATTTCCTCTTAACAGCCTCGATGATACCCTACACGTTCTTAATATGTTTAGCCATCGCATTTTGGTAGTCAATTGAGCCCTGCGTTCAATTGTGTGGAAAGAGATATGATTGGTTTAAATTTTTATAGTGCTAATCTCGGCACTTAAGATTAAACAATAAAGTTTGTTGAAAAAAGTACTAAAATTTTTTCGCCGCTGTGGGAATCGAACCCACGTCTTCGAGATTCGCGCCCGGACTTGAAGTTAAGGAATAAAAAGAGGATTCATTATTATTATATGTAGTGTGTAACTCCACAAATCACATGTGTAGTTACTTCGACTGAGTTAACGTTTATCATTCTACCTATACCTAAAACGAACTGTAAAAGTTTATGGTATTATCCATTAAAGGATAAATTTGATTAAACTTTTTGAGTAGTACAGTACTTGATTTCTTACGTACCATACACTAAGGGAATGTAGGTATATGGAGGGATGTAACAAAACATTATAAATCTGAAAGTTATTCTAGAATGTTTGAAATTCGAATTTCGAACAGGGCTGACGTCCGACACGGCGTGCGAGGGCACCTCACAGGCGGCGGCGGGGGAGTCGCACGAGAGTAGCGCCGCGGCGGCGGCCGTGCGCTGGGGCACGTGGGGCGCGGCTAGGGCGTTGCGCGCATCACTACGGGGACGGGGCCTGCGGGTGGTGTTGCTCCACGCGCCAGACCTGCCCGCCGCCGACGTATACGCGCCCCCGGTCCAGCTCACCGCGCCCAGCCAGCCCGCTAGGTACCTTCCCCTCATGTCTCCCTAGCGAGCGCTAGTGCAACGCACAACACTGCCAGCCAGGTACCTTCCCCTCCCGCCGCCCACGTGACCGCTACTGCAACGCACAACACCACCAGCCAGATAGGTACCTTCCCCTCGCGCCTCCCACGCGACCGGTAGTGCAACGCACTACACTACCATCCAGATAGGTACATTTCTCTCGGTCTTCGCGCGCGACCGCTAGTGCAACTCTCAACACTACCAGCCTGCTAGCGACCTCCCCCTTACGTAACCGCTAGTGCAACGCACAACACCCCACCAACCTGATAGGTACATTCCCTTCCTGCTGCCTTACATCCGCCAGTATATCAAAAACCATTGATCGATGCCTCTGTTCCCCTGTGCTGTGATCGCTAGTACATGAGTAAACCAACTAAGTACCCTCTTTCATCGTCTCTATTCCGTGGGACCCGTGCTTATAAAATCAGATTAAGGCGTGCCCTACTACTTATTGTTAGAGTGCACCTCTGTGCATGGTTGTGTTCGGTGTTGACACAGAAGCGGGGAAGTCAAGATGATCGTGCAATATGTATAGACTTATTGCAGAACAGAAAGGCGTCGGTTCGTCGACAATTCTATAAAAATATGGAACGTGTGACTTGATCCCTTGTATTAAGAACACGGTAATTAAACTTCATTGAAGCAACACGGTATTTATAGGTGTAACCAATAAGGCACTAATGAAAATACTGCGTTTGACTTGACTTAATAACTGGAATGAAGTTGGCTCCGAGAGTAACTTTTAAACGCTTAAATAAAGTAAAGTAACAGCCTATACATGTCCCACTGCTGGGCAAAGGCCTCCTCTATACAGCGGGTATCAGGGCATAGTCCACCACGCGGCCCCACTGAGGATTGGCGGACTTCACATATTTTCGAAATACATTTTTTTTGTTATTATTCCGAAAATATACAGGTTTCCTGACGATGTTTTCCTTCACCGCGGAGCACGTGATAATTCAGCACTTAAAGTTAAAAACTTCATCGGTGCCGGCACCGGGGATCGAACTCAGGTTGCTCGAGTATACATTGAATTAAGGCGAGCGCCCGGACACTGAGCAATCGCGGCTCTTATAAATTAATTAATTATCAATTAAATAAAGTAATTGCCTATTAAATCAAAAAATTTAAACCAATCTATGGCCACAAATCCGAAAGCCGTTAATTTCGAAACCTGTAAACGTGGTTAACTAAATCACTTGGACAAAATTCAACCGCGTTTCAGTTTGGCATATACACCACGTGTCATCGTATGTTCTATTAACCCTATAGCCTATTTCTCGGATGCTTCCAGCCGACCGGACACCCCGAGTTCTGACGTCAGCACGTCAACAGCTAGCTGCGCGGTCACAATGCCCGGGGAGGCAGCGGAGTACAGCGCCAAGGTGCTGCCCACTGCCGCTCTGAAACTACTCGAAGATGCCCTGACGTCCCCCACTCCTAAGGACGCCTACTACCTGAAGGTGAAACAGGACTCGTGGTTCACCAGGATGCCCTCCCTCAGGGTTGTACACTGAACAACTTTACGGGCGTGGCTACGCAACGGACATACCCGTCTTAACATTTAACTCTGAGCTACTGTAAAATTGATGATAATAATTATGTCAAATGACTTGAGCATAAGAACTCGTGTCCGAAGTTAACCTCGATATGGCACATAATTTAAAAATTGTGTATAAAATTTGATTAAGAACTCATTTTGATAAATATACTATGTAACGGATATTTAACAGGTTTAACACAAGATTTCATCTCCACTGCCCTAGGGATCGGTAACTTCAACAAGTTAATGTTTAACGGGAGAGCTAACTTATTTTAGTACTCTTTACAGGATCCTCTGCCCGATAAAGCTTTATATATTTTACGAACTGAAAACGCAGACATCTATCATGACAAAAACTCATTGTTATTTTCAATGAGTGATCTTTATAAATTGCGTAGCTACGTCCATCTGTACATTCTAAGTTTAACTTGGAACCATGCTTTGTCCACTATTGTCAGTACCTTCACAAAAATGATACACAAAAAAATTATATATTAGACGCACCTCATTTAATGGCAATTTACACATATTTACTATAATTTTATAATAAATAAATTTGGTTTATCTGAAAATAGACGGAATGTATAGAGTCATTTTATGAAACAATTAATCGAATAATTAAAATTAAATCAGCTACAATAACTATATGTGTAGGTACACTTATCCAAAGAATTTTTGTTATATTCTAAAATATCGCTCGCAGTAAAATCCAGCATAACAGTTTAATTGGATTTTAGGATAGCGTTCTTTTTATATACTCTTTTTATTTTAAAAAACTATATCTACAATGTTCAAGTTTCTTCTTCATTTTTATGTTAATTCTTTTCGACCCGCTGATCTCTCGTTAGTCGAAGGCACGGGGACAGCGGAGGTATTGTGCCAAATAATAAAGGTACTAACAAATAACTAAAGCAAAACATATACTTGTATTGGAATTTTATTTTCTGTTATTTAATGAAGGCTGCATTAATTTGATAGTACCTTTTTTACGAATTTCTATACGACTGTTAAGGACACGTGTCGATTGGCAACGAAAGCAATACTTTGATATTATTGCTCGTAATTGGGAGTTAGCATGAAAATGCACGCGGTGCCAAATCGTTTACGAATTTCACGAAGTGGAGATATTAGATATCCTGGAGGATTGTTACGCTAAACTCGTATTTAACCTCAAGTCCAGTGAAGCTAAAAACTAATGTTAATATTTAACATATCACAGTCAATTTGTATATCTCTCAGCTGATTGTGGTATATTTATCACGCTTAAGGTGTCACAATGATGTTGTAAATAATATTTGTGTTGTATAATAAAATGTATCTTTTAAAAGTATTGAAGTTTGTTTGCGATATAATAGTACGTCAAAACTTATCATATTTTATGTATACAAATATTTATTTCAACTATGTTCCGATGCGGATTAATTATTTATGACGAGTTACAGGCCTGATTATGGTACTTAACACTTTTATAACAGGATACAAGAAGTACTTCCTCAAAAAATATTAATTAAACACATGATTCATATCACACTATATGTTTCATGTTCTATGTATACTTGGCTAACGACCAAGGCGGTATTTAGGTACTTCGATAACTCTATCTAAATTAAATATGACCATCATAAAATGAAAATCAAAGGAGAAGGTGGTAGATAAAGAGTTTCATATTCATGTACAAACCACAATATCTGAAACTCGCTTTTACATTTTTTAGATAAATTTTAAAATACATATAAAAACCTACGTGTGTTTAGACAGTGTTTGCGCACTATAAAACTTAGATTATAATAATTAATATTTAACGATAAATAAATAGTATTTAACGTTTTGGTCTGATAAAATAAACACTTTCACATTTAAGAAACACGTAAAAGAATTGTCGTGGATTATGAATCACAGTTTTATATTAATGTAATTTCACTCATATAAAGTTAATTGCTATCTATAAGAACATCATATGGCCGTTTTGGCCTTATGAAAATTATCCTCATCACATTTCTGTTGCATTTATACCACGTAGGCGGGGTGGCTCAACATAATATGTCTATAAATTACGGCATTGCTCGATTTTTACGGCCATCTCCATGACGTCATCCGAATTGGAAACAAACACACAGACCCGCAGCACTTATTTTTAGGTCACATAAATAATTGTCTCCTGTGAATCTCAACCAGAATCCCTGGTGCCGAACCCACCCCACCACCACCCACATTGATAAAAATAGAAAATAAAATAGAATAAATTTAGAAGGGTTTTAGAATTTCATGTCATTAAATCTAAATTTATATTAGTGAAGTGAACTAGGAGCTTTAAAAGGGAATAAAAGACAAAGAAGATGATCAACACACAGGTTCCTTTATTTTCAAATTGTCAAATGCCAACCAGATACTATAGTCGTCCACGCAAGCTATCAGCCCTCCCTTCCTTAACTTTTCATGATTGTCTAAGTTGCTTGTGCAAGTCCAGTACTGCGGCGGCGACGAGCCAGCCTCTTGCCATGGGGCTGCGGTGCTCACAGCGAATGTGGTTTTGTCTGATCCGTTCCCGACGTAATGGACCGATTCTGGCATCTTCAACGATATCTGATCGATGTCACGTACGCTATTTTTTTTAAATAAAGAAAAAAATCATAATTATTTATATACAGATTTATAATAAGTTCACAACTTTAAAAAACTATTGCAATGCGGAAAATTCGTTTGTGTCTAAGCAAAATAGAATAAAGACCAAAGGGTGGTAACTAATTTTACGTAGAAGTCGGAACGTCCAACTCAACGTGTATGATATACGAGCATATGATTTAATGTACTCGAAACAGAAAATCGAAAGTTGCCGTCAGTAAAATATGAAATATCGGAATCTAAAAATAAATTATATTGCAGTTATTGTAGTCCAATATCATCATAATCCTACTGCCCTTAGAAACTGCGCCATCGATTCATCCAATTCGTCATCATCCTCCTGCCCCTATCCCACCTAAGTGGAGTCGGCCAAACATGTGAATCCTGTAAGTGGTTTTAACTAGGTTTTTGATTTTTTGGCCGCTTGCCTGATCAACCCACCTTGGAAACAAAACCCAGATCCGAAACGATTATCTGTGTATCACCCAAATACTTGACCCGCCTGGGAAACGGACCCTCGTCTTTTTTTTTTTGTCTTACGACGCTGAAGCCAATAAGTTTAGCAATTGCGTCACCGTTTCATACATTTGCAATCCAATAAAAAAAGTTAAAAGTATAAGTATCTGCCTATACATATCCCACTGCTGGGCGAAGGCCTCCTCTGTACAAAGGGTATCAGGGCATAGTCCACCACGTGACCCCACTGCGGATTGGAGGACTTCATATATCTTCGAAATATTATATCAATCCAATATACTTATACTAAATAGCTTCTATAGTCATTGATAACGAGCACAGATTAACCAGTTAAAAATTTTGGGGTTGAATTAAAAAACAATGAAGCTTATCTACCCATAATTTCTGTTGCAGTCGCTCGAGAGACGTTCAGCACTCGTCTGACTGTATACGTCGAGAATAATGTGCTTAGACGCTGCAAAATTCGTGTACAAAGATTGCCGACTCTTAGGAGGCCGCGCCAAAATCTCCACGCGCATTGACTCCTCGCTGGTTAAAATCTGAAGTCTTTTCGTTTTTGTTTCCTTTCTACGGATTAAAAGAAGTTGTTCTAAATATTGATTTGTGAAGTGTACCTAAATGTGTATACAGAGTCATAACTGTATTAACTATTCTGAAATTGTAAATAAATAAAATTGTAGGTAATATTGATAATGAATAACATATATGCGCCATTGTTAATAATAACAATAAAATGAAATATACTTACAACAAATAATCCTTTTTTTTTAAATTGTTAATTAAAGTTAAAAAAATAATCTTAAATAAAAATAATTAAATCTTAATACAATTTATATAAGAAAATACTAATGCGTTATTAAATTTATAAGATACATACTGTTCTTTCCGTTTCGGTTCTAAGAAGTCCCACATGGGCAACAGGTCAATAATTTTTTTCGGTATTTTAAAATGGGTAATTTTTGGGGCAACGGTCTTGATGGCAGTCGCAATCTCATTCACTGCTAGTAAGTCGATTGATAAGCACATTATCAAATGTCCGTTACTCTTCTCCTCGTCTGGGAATACATGACGATCACCTGTATGTAGAATTGAAAGTTTTATAGGTAAGCGAACATTATATATCTATATCTACGCGAACATTACATATTGATTGTATATAGAACGTTTTATAGGTAAGCGAACATTAAATATCTATGATCACGTGCACACGACATATTGTTGAATATAACAGTTTTTACGGATTTTATCGAGTATAAAAGATCTGCGGACGCTTTGCCAACTTTCTCAGTTTGCCTACTTTTCGAAGAGTTAGTACAATCATTCCCCTTTTGGGTAATTTTTCTTGTATTCATACTAGTAGTTACCATCCTGCCAACTTTCTCAGTCCCGTCGTTTGAATAATTTGCATTACATTCAAAACGGATTCGGGAGGCGATTAAATATTCTTAAAGGCTTTATTTTTAATTTTCTTGACCATTAATGGATGAGTCATGTTTGATCGGGTGCAGACGTGGTGGCAATTTTTTTTTATGTGAAACGTTGCCAAGCGGGCAGGTGGTTCACCTGATGTTAGTGAATGCCGATACATTCCTTTTTACATGTCTTTGAATTTAACAACTGACTAATTTTGTGATTTATTAACAAAAGTAAGGTATTGTCGGCTAAGAGCGATCGAGAAGCGTAGTTCAGGCCCAACACACTGTAGTACCTTCTCCCCTGCGAGGACGACGAAATAGCGAATAGCACAGTCAGTGACAGACTATTCCCTACTTTTTGTTAATGTAAGCTTTCCCACTTGCGCCGCTTAAACATGAAACACCAATTCATGGTCGAAGATATTGTGTTCCGAATCCGATATACGCATCTAAATATTTAGAATATAAATAGTAGAATTTCATTTAATCATGTTTTAAGTACGCATACTGATTATTTTATTAATTCAGATCAGGTTTATCTAAGTTTAATTTGTGTTTCTAAGATGCCTCAGCAACTTGTAATAAACAGTAAATCCAACAGCAGGAGTGACATTTTCTTAAAACCAGGAAAAAAATTATTCAGTCTTACACATAATATAGATATAGTGTATCGGTCAATAGCTATTAAGAAAACGGCAGACATGGTTAAACCGCTTTGAATATAGTATTTGAATATCAGTGACTCCCGAGAGTTTGCAGATGCGTTACCGGCCTTTAGAAGCACGGCTACCTCCAGCAGGTAATGAGCAAAAGTATGCTTCTACTTGAAGCAGATCTCCTGAAGATGTTGCGTGACTCTACCACAGACGAAGACTTTCCCACAACAAAGGTGTCCACTTGTCTCCATATAATATCGATATCCTGTTTTAATTATTAACGCTATAAAAAGGCTATTATAAAAAATCCTGACCGTTGACGTTTATTAATCCGGGAATGGTGTGGCCGATCCAGACACCGCCTCTTTCATCCGCCATCAGCACTCCTAGAGCTTCGGAATTCCTGCGACTCTCGTATACAATTAGAGCTAAGTAGTCCACGTACGTTGGCTGAAATTTGTGACCTCCCATATATAAATAAATATATATAATCTTCCCTCCACGAGTTTGAATTATGGAAAATTACTATGTAAGTAATATAAAAGATCTATTTGAATATAATTATCGTCATACCCATATACCACACAGAAAGACGTATAGGATTACGTCTTCCTGTGTGGTATATCAAATTAACAGCTTATCTTCTTATTTATGCAACACACGGTACAGTACAGTAATTCGCTCAGAAAAATTAGGAAATTATTCACACTGTACGGACTATTCCAGCACAGCGCTAACTCTCTTTTTCAAAATATATGCAATTAAAAAATACATTCATTATATCATTGTTCCATATATCGTGATACTCTAATGCCTCAATACTCTAATGACTCATTTACATTGTAAATCAACTCTTGTGTTATGTTTTAATAATCCTCACCCTGTATATAGGCGATAGCGTGTGCTGCAACATTGAGTTTGATGTTATGTATCTGTCCGAAGGCCGCCATCGTCCTGTTTCGCTGGACGTTATATAGGTGAAATTTCTACCCAACTCCAAGAACGGCACTACTGCACTAGGCGGCTTGTATATATACCACCTACATATAAAATTTTATGGAACTTGAATGGAAATGATACAGTAAATACAACAATACGAGAGGACCTCCAAAAAAATTTTCGAAATTGGCAATTGCTTATCATGCCTTAGCCGTGTCTTCGTTCGAGATCTCTCTCACAAAAATAACTAACTAGTCTTTACTCGCCTGGGAGTTCAGGCAGAGATAATAAGAAATAAACAGTAAGTTGTTATCCGCATTTCAATCAGCTTAGTAAGGGCCATAAGAGAAAAAGTGGATAAATTCTCGCACTGGGATAATATTTTTATGTTTTTAATTTGTCCGAATATAGCCATTTATGTATTTTACAATGTAGGTATTTATAAATTATTTGTAATCGATCTTAGTGATTTTCCATACAAGAATTGAAGGCGGACATCAAATTGCTACTAGTAATCAATGATGTTTTAATAGACTAGTGGTCGCCAAGTTGTCGTAATTCGCCCATAATTAATTATACCTGCATGGTTGAGTGTGTAATGTTTTTTTTATTGATTTAATGTATTTTTATGCATAATAAAAAAAATATTAGCATTCTGGGGTCCATCTCTACATAAACTATAAGTGTGGGAAATTTCATGCTTGTCCGTCCCCGGAATTTTTGTAAAAAGAGGTACAAAATGTTTGCTTCACGTATTATACATAGAAGATAATACATGTCCATACTGCCCGGCGTTAAGAAATTGTTCCGCTTTACATAATATGACATATACAAGTTGATTTTTTAGACGAAGTACATACTTTGACATAATGTTAATTGAGCATTCCATAATTCAAAAAAAATATTAATATTTTATTTTGACAAGAAATAACCAGAAAAATATCAATTCAAACATTGTTTGTTTATCCCGTTAAGAGTGGTCACCCTACTGATAAGCGGCTTAGTAATTATGCGTACAGCGAAAAATTTTAGTGCTCGTGAATAAGTTATTGTATTGAGACGGTAAGGCAGGAATTTCTTAAGGTGTTCATAATGTTTGAAAAAATTAAAAATAATCTTTGAAAACAAAAAATGGGTCACAGATTCATTCAGATTTAGAATCAAATTCTGCATATGCTCTTTTAATATGTCCGTCGTCTATAAAATCACCCTGTATAAGTAAATGTGACAAATGATATAGAACTTACGAAAGAGATAGCAGTTTATAAAATCACAATTTAATTACACTGCTTGGTGTAAATTGAGTGCCTCAGTTTCGGTGCGCTAGTGCCATATATGTAACCCTTAATTAGTTATAATAATATTAATAATATCGGCCGAAATTATCCCGATAGTCGTGTCTGCGAATGGGTTAATCCCAGTCAGCCTCTCCAAACATCTGAGGCGACTGGGACTCCGGGACGGATCGCTCCAAGCTCAAATGCAGAAAGCGGTGCTCCTCGATACCGCCCGCATCGTCCGCTGGTTTCTCTCCCTATCGCCCTAACCCTCGGCCGTTTGGTCTCCCCTGCCGAGGGCTTCCGTCTGGTTGGGTCCTATTTATATATGTATTATATAAAATATTTTTATAAGTATGTTTATTTTTATCCATAATATTTATTTTATATATGCAATATGTATCTATATTTTTATTTATAAACCCAACCAGACGAGGAAACAAATGAATATCCCCCCATATTAATAACATAAATAATATTAATAATTGGTAGAAACCATTATCACTTCACCTCCGCTTACAAGTAGGTATACAAAATTATAGAGTATATGGGTCGAAATGGACATTAACTTTAAAAGTGACGAGAGAATAAATTTGTTGCTATAAATTTATAGGTACTGATTTTAATTGTCAGAATCGACGACAGAGGAATTCAATTTATTGTTTAAATTTTATTCCGTTATTATTATTATTATAGGGGAAAAATTGTTAGTATTAATGGTTAAGAATTAAATTGTATAATTACCATTCAACAGGTCTATTATCATTGTCTCGACAGTGAAGATTCAAATAGTTCCATCCGGCAAATCTATCGGAATAACCGTGAGCCAAACCAAGCAAATATACGCAGAGTATTGAAAAGTAACCGCCATCGGTGCAAAACATTTTATCGACTGACCTGTTGAAACTGTTTTACGATGCTTCATAAATTCTTTGAATTCGACTTCGTTTATATAGCTTACGGTGCTTACGTTAGTTTTGTATGGACGTGTCGATTCAATTTATTACAAACAAATATAAGGTTAGGGTTAAAATAAGGATAATGCGTGAAAATGAAATTAAACAATTATTTATTTTATTTTCATTAACATTATCTCAAGTTCTCGCTGATATTGCATAGGTTTTCATCTTTAATGCGTACAAATGGCAGGCTTAATACTAAATTAAAAAGTTAACAAGTATCATTATTTAATAGAATATAATACTAGGTACAGTAAAACTATTATGTAGTATATTACAAAGTCGATTTAAATAAACAATTAAGTACAAATTGTTACAAGTACCTACTACACATATCACAATTCAAAGTTAATTAAGTGATAAAGTAACCATAATCTTAAAATTAGTTATAGACTCGTATTAAATGCATCTAAAGATATAATTATAAATCCTTACAAAAAAAAACAATACATCCACGAACCAAGTGGACGCTGCTAATATACATTTTGTTATTATTATTCTCATAAAAGAGCTTACAACAAAACGAAAGTAAGAAATGAAATTGTATAATTATTAGTATCGTAAAAATTGGTTAAAAAAATGTCGTAAAGTATGTGAAAACCGCGTTTAAAAGCTCATAGAAATATTCATATAAACTATTAACGAAGACAATAAAATAGATAAACATAAAACGATTAGAAGTACTACAGTTCTTGAGCAACATTGTTTCATCGACCATTCGAAACATAGGCATTTTACGTGACGTCTGAAAACAATAATAAATAACAAAGCGACTGAGAAATTTCCAAACAAACAGACAGGGACTAATACCAAAACGACAGAGGACATTACGGCGAGAATACGAGATAGACAGTCATTATTGTACTAGCGCTAGGAAAAATCACTTCTTGAGGATATTTACAATCAGACTTGGTTAGGTTCGTAGGGGTCCTTAATCAGCGGAGGCTAATTGCACGTCTGCACGGACTCGATGAGATGCGCAAAGTTACCCCACAGGATGGGTCCAGACGTGCAAACAGTCCCACCCCCCCTCGACTCTTGCGGCAGCTGGAAGCGATAGACCACGTAACAGAATCCAACTCCCAATATGACAATAATAATACAAGCCTTTAACTATTAGACGGACTTTAACTTCGTCTTACATATATTTTTTTTATGTGAGAAAGTAGTTTTATGGTGGTAGGGCTACGCAGCAGCCTCGCCTGTTGCACGAATGGGCAGGCCCGTCCGGATAAGTACCACGACCTCACAGAAGACCAGCGTAAAGTGGAAGTATGACACTTCCGCGTTTCGTCTGGTGGCCGGAGCCCAATTCTCAAAAGGTTGTCAACGTATCGGTAACCCTCGGGTGTAGCAGATGTCCATGGGCGGCGGTATTCACTCACCATCAGGTGAACCGTCTGCTCGTTTGGTAACTTATCACATAAAAAAAAGTAAACGAGCTGGCGATTCGCCTTATGTTAAGTTATAACCGCCGCCCACGGACATTAGCAAAGAAAGCAAAGACATAAGCAATTCTGCGTTTCGTCTGGTGAGTGAGGTAGCCGGGGCTCACTTTATTTTTATGTGGGAACGCATTTGCAACCCTACGGGTGTTGCAAATGTCCATCGGTGGCGGTTATCACTTAAAACAGGTGAAACGCCAGCTCGTTTGCCACTTTCTCACATAAAAAAGAGTATATTCTATGATGACCTTCGTCGGGTCATTGTCGATCTTACCGCTCTGTTGATGTCGCCGACGCACACCCAGTAATCGGCCACCTTCGTGTCCTGGCTGTTGTGCATTTTGTGCGCGACCGCCACCGCCCACTTGGAGTGGTCGTTGTGCGAAGTGAAGGACATCTTCGCGATGGGAAACTTCAAGCGCTCGATGTTGCGGACCCTGGTGATCAAACATCGTGCATGGTTCTAATTGGGTCCGATTGGCGTAGCGGATGATAAACTTCGTTCTTGGAGACCGTGGATTCAAATTAATAATTAACAAAACTAGGAAAAAATATTGTGTGATGAATTTTTCCGATGGCTGATTGTTTACATATTTAATTTTATGTATTTATTTATTTTTTTAAAACTAACCATCCTGATTTGTTTTGTTTGGAACAGGACAACGATGTAAAAATAATAAAAATAGGACATCAAATCTTAACACGGGAACATCGGATGGCGGCCCTTACGAAAGTAACTGTTCCATTATTTATGTTTTCCTATTATTTTTCATTATTTATCTATGATACATCAAACTACGTCTATGTTTTTATGATCTCGTCATAATATATTGTGTTCTCATAAAAATATCGAATAAAATCGAAAAACAAAAAGTACTCTCTATATGATTCGTCGTAGCCCATGGTTAAACATAAAGCATTAATAGTTGACTATTGAAGTTAGTTTAGTATAGTTATTGTTGTCAAAAAAGGCAAGTTAATATTAAGTCTAATTGGCTAGAAAGAATTCTTGCTTGACACTAGTTGATGACATGTGCATGCACTTCACGCACATGTCATTAACTACTGTCAATGTCATACATGCAAAAAAGCTTTGCATACCCTGTACGGGTATGGGTTGCATATGATTTACAAAAGAAATACACGTGATTTCATGCAACATGACAGAAAGTACGATTTACGATGCCATCATAATGTCCTTGAATTCGACTTCGTTTATATAGAATTCGGTCATCATAGACACTGGTCAAATTAATGGCGGCTCCCAGGGTCAACTGCGTATGATCACACTCACTGGAAATTTCTCGTGCACTCCGAGTCCAGGGTGCCCGGTCCGTTGGTCCAGGACTCCACCAAGAGGTCAGACTGCAGCACCTCGGCCACCAAGCCGCTGTACAGGTCGTCGTTGAACATGGCGCTCTTGGCGAACGACAGGAACTTACGGCCCACCAAGGTCTCGAAACTCTCTATGTGATACCTGAAACCGTGATTGGCGCTTTTCGTTTCATTCTTCGCCTTCTCCTATTTTAAGCGCCGACTTATCGTGTGCCCGGCGGTGAAGGAACACATCGTGAGGGAACACGATTTTCGAAATAAAACAAAAAAAATATTTCGAAGATATGTGAAGTCTGCTAATCTGCAGTGGGATCGTTATACCCTCTGGTGCAGATGAATCCTTCGCCCAGCAGTGGGACATATACAGCGTGTCGTTACCATCGCGACAATAAATGAACACACATATAGGGGATAACTTTTCAAAGTTGTATTAAACATTTAAATTCTTTAAACATCAATATTTACAAAGTTATTAAATTTTCCAAAACAAAGAATTTTAGAACACCCTTACCTATAAAAGCGTAACGTAAAGTTCATTTGTAAAGGTCACAAATCATATGAATGGGTTGAATGAATTTAAAAGAGACAAAACATACTGTTAGAAGGAGAGGCTTATAATACGACGCTGTGGCGCGAGTTGTATAGGATGTTACAAATTTTGTTTCTTTTTTACTTAATTAGTTTGTTTGAAAAATATTTTTTTTAATTATGGATTTTGTTTAACGTTAATATTTTTTTATGATTATTGGCAAGTAGCGTTAGACGTGTGTTCATTTATTGTCGCGATGGTAACGACACGCTGTATAGCATGTTACTTTATTTTTTTTTTCTATTCTTTGCCTAGAACAGACTTTTGAAACAAAGAATGTTTCTGTTTGTTTTAAGTCTATGGATATAATATGGATTGTTGTTAAAAAATGGCTTACAGCGGATATAGAATATGGCTCCATATTTTATTTTTAGTAATAGGTTTGTAATGTACATAGTCTTGAATGCTATTATCATTTTCAATGACAATGATGTATCTACCGGAAAGTAAAACGAAAAAAAATTATCCTTAATACAACAGGGAATAAATAATTATGTAGAATAGGATTCGACGAATGATTCACGCGTCATAAAGCAATGTTTTGAATCAAGTATTGCAGTGAGTAATATAACCTTCCAGATGTATGTTATACAGATCGTGCGAAACTTAAACATAAACACGCGTGTTCAGCACGCAATACAGCAATCAGACCCAATGATTATATAACCTTATTAATAATAAATTATCAAATATTTTTGGATAAGTTATTATTAATAAGTACTCACGACTGAAAAGCAAAGTTGTTTGGAACTGTAAAGGGTTCGTCCATTAATCTCGTGAGGCTCGAAAGGGTGGAAGGGGTTCTGCAAAAATCACGAAACATTACTAGCGGGGAGGGGTGTAATGAGATATTTTTTTAATGTGAAAAGTTGCCAAACGAGCAGACGGTTCACCTGATGGTAAGTGAATACCGCCGCCCATGGACATCTGCTACACCCGAGGGTTACAGATGCGTTGACAACCTATTGAAAATTGGGCTCCGGCTACCTCACTCACCACACGAAACGCGAAAGTAGTTGTCATACTTCCACTTTACGCTGGTCTTCTGTGGGGTCGTGGTACTTACTCGGACGGGCCTGCCCATTCGTGCAACAGGTGAGGCTGCTGCGTGGCCCTACCACCGTAATATATACCACCGAGATATCACGTGTGTTGGAAAAGCGGCAGTTCACGGTTGCCCGGCAAAGATTTACCCGCTACGTAGAAAAAAGTATATAATTATGGACATTTTTATCACGAGTCTTAATTTTCCAGGATTAAGACGAAAACCAACCCCAGACGAAAACCCTTACCCAAAAGCACGTGTCTTTTACGAAAAAAGACACGTGCTTTTGGGTAAGGGTTAAAAAAGCTAAGAAAAACATCCCGTAATCATCCGCACGACGGAAAGCGACGTTACGTTCGGAAACAGATGATAATTCGCATCCCGTAACATACTGCGCAATTATTTGTTATCATCGAAGGCGAATTTTAGTATTGCGCGTAGGGTTGGCGAAAGGCGAAAAATATATCGAAATATCGATATTTATAAAAATATCAATAATGGCCTCGATATATCGAAAAAAAAATCGATATATCGATATTTTTTCGGCACCCCTAATTGCGCGTACAGAACTGACTCACCAAGGCGACGCGTCGATCGTTTTGTTATGCACAACGTCCACCAGGTTTGGCAGCTCGTTGTCGAAGTCCTGCGGCATGTGGTAGTACACGATCATGGGCTCGTTGTACTTCAGCTGGGTCGCGATCTGGTTGAGGGTCGACGTCTGCACGGAGACGCAGAGGAACGACTGGCCGTACTTGGTACCGGTGGTCGGGTAGTTGTATGACGACACGTTCAGACCGTGCACTGGAAGGACACGAGCTCTCGCGTGTTGTAACCCTAACGTTATACATATGCTACCCTGGTGCGACACTAATACGATGTAGGGCTTCTAACACTAATACGGAATTCCGAACACTCCACGTGGCGGAGAAGATGGCCGATTCCATTAAGTACCGTATTTATCATTAATCGTATTATTATCAATTATCATTAATCCCTTATGCCCGGTTCCTTCTACACAAAATACAAACACGACCTGTAATTCCCGGTTCCTAAATTCAACGAACGGCCGTTAGTTACATAACGACTAGTAGATAAAAGGCGTGTACGCCCGGTTCCTATATTAACAAAACGAGGCGTTTTCCTTACGAGCCATTGAAATACCTTCGGAAAGTGAGTTACTAGCGTTCCTTTAATCTACAAGACGTTATGAAAGTTACAAAGCTATGTAACTAACGGCCGTTCGTTGAATATAGAAACCGGGCATTAGTCGTATTTGTATTTTGTGTGGAAGGGGTTCGGTTGTAGATGTATTGTACCTGCCCCTCGAAAACAGTGCCCTCTCAATGTAGGATAACATTATCCTGGTTGTGCATAAAATTTCACGCGGACAAATACCCAGATCCGAAACAATTACCCGTGGGTCACCCAAATAGTTGTCTGGGAATCGAACCCACAACCTCCGACACCGAAGAAACATTGGCAACTGCACCAGAGATCTTGCGTCTTGCAACCCTGATGTAGTTTATTGTTGGCGGCATCTATTTTAGTGCTTTGGACGAAAATCCCAGCGACTCGCGGTCGACCGTATACTTGGGTCCGTCGAACTTTCAGGGATTACTTTCAATATACCACCTCTAACGGTATCTGACGTCGATGCGACCCTGTTATGATAACAAGGCTTCTAACTATAATACGCAATTCCGAAAACCCCATGTGTCGAAGAAGATTGGCGATGACATGAATATTTCATAAATCTCATTTAGTTAGGTGCTCAATGTGTGTAAGAATATTTTTTTTTACATAAGGCTTTTCAAGAACGAATAGGTGCGATTAATTCAAACCTTAGATGGCAAGTTTAGTCATGAAACTTCACACAATAACATCATCAAGTGATGGAGGATGTCAATAATGACTAGGTGGGTTACCAAGAAAAAAAAATGTGCAATACTTACTGTCTGGAAGCGGAGGGAATCTGGGTACTGAGTGGACCAACCATAGTGCAGTGAACTTGTCCCCTAAGATCACCCCCTTCGTGTGACCACTCTCCACTCGCGACTTCATGAATTTTGAATGCATCTTACACATCTCTGCTAAATCGTAATCGTCATAGTATTTATCGCCAAGTTTGAATTTCTTGAACTTTTTCACACCGGCCTGATTCATTTGACCTTTGAATTTGATTTATTTCATCATTTCACAACAGCTTTAGAGGATGCAATTACAGTGATGAGTACCAATATGTTGATAAACATATATTTCACTCAAAATCCGGCAGTAACCAATTATATACATAAAATCAAATGAAATTTTAAAGTTCCTTTAACTGAACTGTAGGCATACATATTTTGCTGATATTGAAGACCTTACAATAAATCTCTGTATTCTTCTATCCAAAAAAGCTTTAAAAGCTTTGTTGTGGATGATTTATACACATGCATAGAAAATAACACGAGTTCAAAGGCAAATGATTAAATATACATATAAATTCATACTCAGTATACATTCACTGTAATTTTAGTACTAATTAGTTAAAAATTATTTATAAATGTTGTATGTGGTAGATAATAATGTGGTTCCTAATTAGTTTTAAAATTTATGCTTCCATATAATGTCAACAATTATTCATTGCACCACTCTGCAATTATTAAATTATTTTTGTGGACTAGACATCATAAAATAGAAGAGTGTAGCAGTTACATACCTCTTTTGCTCTTAGAGTACATCTCAGCAACAGACTGCAAGATGTCTGGTTGATGTTCCGTGGCAGGGGGCTGATCATTGTAAACTAAAGAAATTATATTTCTATCCTGTCAGAAATAAATAGTTGATTAATAAAGGCAATGGCAGTCTATAACAGAAGCAAGCAAAATTCATATGCTTTAAAAATAATATAAAGTACTCTTACTTGGTACAATGGTGTTAATGTTTTTCCAATCATAGAGCGAGGATCACTAATAGCCAAATCTGACATAATCCATCCTCCCCTTAGCTTTGAAGGTGTGAGGTACATGTATGCTACACCTCTACGCACTAATGGATTTAAATGGTTTTTTTCTCGGGGCAGTTTGTACACATAAAACCTGCAGATTTCAAAAACATAACAATTGTTATGAATAAATATTATGCTTTCTCCCTTATATATGAAATTTTATTTATATGAATCTAATTTTTGGAGTGAATTTTTGTTTTAAATCAAAGAGCAACAAAGTGTATATTACACTCTCTGTTGTATGTTATGCTAAACAAATTAATAATTATAACTAATTCTTATCGTGATTGAGATGGACTTAAATTGATATTAAGTATAAGTATAAATAATAATTATTTCATATACTTATAGTAACTAAGTTTTCAAGTTCTTTGTTATTAATAAAGTCGCGCACTTACGATGACTCAGTTATTAAATGTATTTTATAGTTAGAAACTTTAGACAAAACTAAAAAAACAATTGAAACACCTTACCAATCAACTGGTTCACCCCTTTCATTTCTACACTGTGGTGTTAAACAAATGCACTCAGTCAAAATTGACGAAAATACTAAGAGTAAAGTAAAGCTATACATCGCTACGTGTTTACTTCATGAAAGACACTCGCGAAGTAACAGGAGACTCAGGAAGTTCACATTAGAGTTGTTTATGATGTCATGCAATTTGAACATAGAATGTATCCACAAACGCTGCAAACAAAAATTTGTTTATAAAACATTATCAAATTGTTTCCTTTTGCATACACAAATTGAACGATGAGTCGCCCTGAATGTAATTCATGGTCGCGCCAATATTTGTTGTTTGTTCTACTGTTAGGAATTGTCTTTCTTTGTTTGTTTACCAAGACAACTGTCAAAAGTTCTGAAACAAAGTTGTTCAATAATACCATGGGCATATATGGCTAGGGAGGTCAACGAAATCGCTCAGTCTATGATGTGTAATTTTACAGCAGGTATAACTCACACTTAAAATATTATATATTTGTATACGTCTTAAATCCGAAAGTTTAATTTTTTTTAATAAGTTCATGAATCTAAACCATTCTCGAATCGACCTGAAGACGCACAAAAATTCATTAAAATCCGTCCAGCCGTTTAGGAGAATTACACGTACAGAAGAATTATATATACAGAGATATACATAATAATTAACACCTATGCAACAGTAAGCACAGTTGCACAACCAATAATATTTTATACTACAAGTACAACTACAACAACAACCACAAGTCATGTTTTGAAATGAGTCGGACAGTGGATTGTACTAAATATGCTTGTTTGTCGTAAAAAGGTTGAAAAAATGAAAAAACTTTACTTAAAAAAAAGAATAGTTTATTATATAATTAAACTATTTGTTTAATAAAATCTTTAACTGTGCTAAAGCCTCGAAAGAATTCTTATGTTGTTGCAGCACTTCCCTGAATGGGCGGGCTCATTCATAGAAGTGCCATGGCTACAAAGAAGAGCCGCTGAAGTACAAGTATATTTTTGCGGTTCATATTAGGACTCACTAACCTTAGTTTGTGAGCCTTTGTCACGGAAGTGTAGTCGTGCGGTAGAGGACGAACAAGAATTGAGATTTTTCACTTTACTCAGACACTTTCACATCTATTTTTCTCAGTAAGACTACCCATAATCCATCGACTTAAAAAAGCCGAAGGAAAAAGGGGTGCCGGTATAAATATGCGCGTGCTCGCACTTGATTCCAATGTTGTCTCTGAAACCTCCTATCCTATGTAGGCGAAGCGTGTTAAACAACGAACGGCAGACCGATTCGGCCGCTAGAAGACCAAAGCTTGTTGTTTCTTAGTGCTAGCTTTCGGGCAATGAGAGTTCGGATGAGTGCGCAAAGTTTCTTGTTATCCGACTGCGACGTGGTATAACATGAGGGTTTTAGTCCAAGTAAGTCTAACATAACCTGTTCTTGCCCCTACGAGGCGGGTATGCATAGATATTTCCTCCGCGGAAAAGTTATACACTAATATTATAAACATCCACATTGTTATGATCCAAACGGAAAAAACAGAATTGGTAATCGTGCGCTAAATAGTGCGCTATTCTAAAAAAGTAAGAATTGATAGGTAAACCAACTATAATAAACTTATGGTAAGCTAATATTAAAATATTATTTTAATATTAGCTTACCATACAATATTAAAATATTATTTTAATATTAGCTTACCATAAGTAAATATTTTTTTCTTAAAACTCAATAGCAATGTACTTACGTAACAATTTAATTTATTTATTTGTTCTCTTTAACTAAGACTAACAATTTTACTTCCTTTAAGATGTCTGAAATTTATTCCATATTTCACTAAGATAACATTTACAGATAAAATTAAACTTAAAGTAATCTTTGCATATACAGGATTATTTTATAGACGACGGACATATTAACAGAGTATATGCAGAATTTGATTCTAAATCTGAATCGGGTACGTACTTGTGACCTCATATTTTTTTCAAAGATTATTTTTCATTTTTTGAAAAATTATGGACATGTTAAAATTTGTAGAAAAAGTACGAAAAGATTGTCGCCGCTGTGGGAATCGAACCCACGTCTTCGGCATTCGCGGCCTGATGCTCTAGCCACTAAGCTAAACGGCTGATTGCTACACCAACGAAAATCTTAATGTCTTTTATCTACATTGTTTCTTACACAGAACATATTATACTCTAGGGAGTGGTTTCTTAGCATTTGAAACTATGCTTGGCGCATCCATTGTTATATCCTTTCCAGCATACAAACAATTTCGAATATCGTTTTACAACGATAATTCGAACGAGAGATGTCGCTATTGCTTCTTAGAAATTTAAATTTTTTATAGTGCTAATCTCTGCACATAAGATTGAACATTAAAATTTGTAGAAACTCGTTTTGAAATTTTCGTACTTTTTCTACAAATTTTAATGTTCAATCTTATGTGCAGAGATTAGCACTATAAAAAATTTAAATTATGGACATTATTGGACTTAAAAAATTCCTTCCTTACCGTCTCAATACAATAACCTATGGACGAGCACTAAAACTTTTCGCTGAAGGCCTAATTACTAAACCGCTTATCAATAAGGTGACCCCACTCTTAACGGGATAAACAATGTTTGAATTGATATTGTTCTGGTTATTTCTTGTCAAGATTAATTATTAATATTTTTTTTAATTATGAAATGCTCAATTACCATTATGTCAAAGTATGTACTTCGTCTAAAAAATCATGACATGACGCTGTTGGAATTTCAGACGCTTTAAGTTACAAGCTTAACTTAAGCGTCTTAATAGTTATTATGTTCAGAGTACAACAAACTTTTATTTACAGTATATGAAACAATGTGTGATAAGCTTATATGTAGATTTAGAAACAATAGATATATAAAAGCCTAGTTAAATGGGACATCTAAAGAATTCGATAATTCAGCGAGTAGGTATGCTCCACTAAAGTTCGTCCAAGTCATGGCGCAATACATTTTATAATGTCGGTAGACATGGAATGGATACAAGAGGCTTTCCAAAGAGGGTTTCTTTTGTCTTTTATCTATAGTGAGTATAGTCGGTAGGGCTACATGTGGGGGGAGGATATTGTCCTTTAATTATTAGCTTTGGTAGGGCCACGCAACAGCTTCGGCTGTTGGACGAATGGGCAGGTCCGTCCGGGTAAGTGCCACGACCTCACAAATCAGTATATATGTCTTATCTATGCTCACAAAGGCCGGCGTTAAGTGAGTATTCTGCACTTCGCCTGGTGTGTGAGCCGTGAAGTAGCCGGGGCCCACTTTATTAAAGGGCAACGCATCTGCAACACTACGGGTGTTGCAAGTGTTCATGCGCGGCGGTTATGGGGTATTATATAGAACACCTTACGTATAAAACTGTAACGTAAAAGTCATTTGTAAAGGTCACAAAGTATATGAATGGGTTTAATGAATTTAAAAGATACAAAACATACTGTTATTACTGCTTGTAATACGACGGTGTGGCAACGAATGAAAAAGTCTCTGAATGTATGAATCAGTCAGTTGTAGTTGTATATATATATATAGGTGTTACAAATTTTGTTTCTTTTTTACTTAAATAGTTTTTTTGAAAAATATTTTTTTAATTATGGTTTTTTTAACGTTAATATTTTTTTATGATTATTGGCAAGTAGCGTTAGACGTGTTCATTTCAAAGAGATAATCTCTTTGAAATGAACACACGTCTTTTGTTGTAACACTACCTTTTTTGGTTCATTTATTGTCGCGATGGTAACGACACGCTGTACAATAGCATTTATGTTATGTATTACATTTATTTATATCAACTTGACGGCAGTTGGGTTTAGCAGTGCTATCCATACGTTTAACGCATCACTTTGCACCGTGACCATGAACACTGTAAAATAAGTATTCGAAATGTTTAACGAGAGTTAATATAATGCGATATAATCCGTAAAATAAGTTCATATTAAATGTTGCTTTTTTATAATTTTGGCACAAATTAATGTTAAAAATAAGAAAAATAAAAGTAGAACAAAAAATAAAATATTCTTTTATTTTATATTTCTTTTATAACACAATTAGCAAATAAAAGGATTGCAATGGAAGACATCTGAAAAATAACACGTATAGTAAAAAAATAAATGCGGTCCAATATATTTCCTTATCTTATACAAGGGCGGATCCAGCTTTGGTTCCGGGGGGGGGGGGGGGGGGGGGGGGGGGGGGGGGGGGGGGGGGGGGGGGGGGGGGGGGGGGGGGGGGGGGGGGGGGCAGTCACGTAGTCGTGGTGTAGTGATAAGAAGTTATAATTTAATTTTTAACCGACTTCAAAAAAGGAAGAGGTTTCTCAATTCGACCGTATATATAATCCGGATAAGGAAATCCGGATCTGATGATGGCATTTACAAGAAATCGAGGGCCATTATTGAATGTTATAGGTATTAACAATGTTTTTAATTTTTTGATCGAAGCCGATTTTTTTTTGTTAAAAATTATACTCGTTATAATCATAGATACAAGTAAAAAGTTGGTATTTTTAAAGGACTTTAAAAAGATGGAGGTTATCAATTCGGATGTTTATACTCTTTTATGTATGTTCGGGCATAACTTCGTCATACATAGACGGATTTGCAAAATTCTTTTTTTGTTCGTAACAATTCGTTGCTTTTTATTATCAAATATTATACAGGATGGCTTTTATAAAGGCCCAAATTCACACAGGAGGTTCAAATTCGGTAGTATAACCGTTTATTGAAATAAAAACGGTTTTTTAAAAAAAAAATTGGCATTCTATTGCCTAAAAACAGACAATGCGGTGACTACCGCATAAATGCATATGCATATATGCATTCATAAATGCATCGTATACTTTTGAAAAGAACTTATATGCGTGTTAGTTATTTAATTAGAATGATCGCGCGTAAAATAAATGAGTTGCCCATAAATCACCCACTTTCTGAGATAAGTACAAATGAATGTAATTGATTAATTACGAGTGGTTTTAAATATTTATCATTTTTATATAACTTTTTTTATGTCTAGAATTTAATAAAAAAAACGGATACACTTAGAAAAGCCTTCCTGTATAGTATTTTTTTTTAAGTAGCTAATGGTAGACTTACTTATTTTTGAAATTTCTTTTTATTTATTTCTCTTTATTTCATTTCTGACGACCCGATTGGCGTGGGGAGTAGTGACCCTGCCTCTTGCACCAGAGGATGTGGAAAAATATTGTGTGATGAACATAGTGTTTTTCCAGTGTCTGTGTTTTCATATGTATAATATGTATTTATTTCCAAAAAAAACATCCACTTCAATGACAAGTAGCCTAAGACGGGATTATCGGGACACGGGTTAATAATAATATATAATCAACCCAAATGAAAACTCCTAAAAAAGCCGTAGACAAACTAAAAATTTCATCGTGCACGTTAAAGAAATTTTCGTAAAGAACAATAAAATATTTATTCAGACATTCATTCATTCATAATATTCAGCGCTCCTCCATCTAATCCATCTAATCACAGATAGAACCCACATTCATAACAAACGGAAGGAACAAACTTTATTTCCCAAAGACGGGGTCGCATACTCACGTCCACTAAACCACCACCTCTCACCACCCATCAAAAACGGTCCACCCATTAAGACGAATCAAACTCGACGCAGTTGTGTTCCTTAATTACTGAGTTCCTATGGCCACATTCCAGCTCTGTCATCAGACCCTGGATACCATCTAGCACTACAGAACTCGTCATGACGAATCAAACGAGCCGATACACAATAGGGTTGGGTCGTTTCTTTACTGACTTCATATGATTATCTTCCAGCTCCATCATCAGATCAGACCCTGGTAACCATCTAAAAATTTAGTACTAGCCAAACGAGCCGAAAATTGATGGGGTTGAATCGTTTCATTACAGAGTGGTTATAGGAATCTCACAGAATAGACCACACAGAAGATCGGCGTAAAGTATTTCTGCGTTTTGTCTGGTGAGTGAGGTAGCCGGAGAACACTTTATTGTAAGGAGAAAACGCATCTGCAACCCTATGAATATGTCCATGGATGGCTGAAGATGGAGCTCCATCATAAGATCCTGGTTACCTATGAAAGACAAACTACTCGTCAATACGGTTCAAATGTACCCAAACGCGATGAGGCTCTGTCTCATTGCGAAGTTCCTTTGACCACCTTCCAGCTCCATCATCAGATCAGCACCATGTCATAAAAATATTTATACAAAATTTCAGCTCAACCGGTAACCGGGAAGTAGATCAAATTTAATTTGCAAGATTTGATGATAAACATTAAAATATTGTAAAAATGTTCATAAAATGAAAACTACTTGGCCAAACAATGGTAAATTTTTATGGGACCAAATGGCAACTATTCTTCATCAAACTAAAGAAGAATCACGTAAATCGGATCATAAATCGCTGTACATAAATCGAAAAAAATATATACCAATCGATTTGAGAAACTCCTCCTTTTAAAGTCGGTTGGTAAAAAAAATATAAAAATATTATGTTTAACAATTTTAATTAGTGGTCCACCTAGGTCCTAGACCCAGCCCAGGGGAGGGTCATGCCCCCCATGACCCTCCCCCTGGATCCGCCCTTAATCTTATATATATTAAAAACACAATACACAAAAGTTAGACCATAACAGTTTACTGTTGGGTTGGCATAGATACGGCAGCTTTAGCATGGGATACATCACTCTGTCTCCAGAAAGAGACAACAGTCTTCAACTCTGTATAGAAATCAATACCCTGCTTGCCGCAGAAATGGTTAGTACCGAGGAAACTGCCACGGGTACCAGTAAAGGAGAACATAGAAAGGGGCACAGGTATGGGAACATTTACTCCCACTTGCCCAACATCTATTTCCGCGGAGAACTTCCTAGCTGTAGCACCGTTAGTAGTAAAAATGGCGGTTCCGTTTCCATAGGGATTAGAATTGATCAGGTGAATTGCATCATCCAAAGTGTCTACGAATAGACAGATTAGAACAGGCCCAAAGATCTCTTCCTTGTAGCATTCCATGTTCGGTTTGACTCCTGTAAGGATTGTCGGTCCAACAAAGTTGCCCTTTTCAAAACCAGGTACCTTGATGCTACGTCCATCAAGTACTAGCTTGGCGCCATCTTTGACTCCTTCGAAGAACGAAATTATTACTTTACATTCATTTATTTTTACAAAATATTATAGATATAATAATTGCTTGTGTCATTATTACCTGATTCAACAAGTCTTAGAATTCTTTCTTTAGCTTTAACCGATATGACGGGACCAACGTCAGTTCCAGGCACGTGACCAGCATTCACTTTTAAGGCTTGGGCTCTCTTCACCAAATCTGGGATCCACTCTTTGGCTTGACCTGAAAAAAAAATATTTCGATAAAGTTACACTTGTTTAGCTCATTTACATTTTTTTTGTTGCAAATCATTTTCCACCACTGCTTCAAAGTTTATCGTGAAGCTTAGAAAAGATATATAAAAGGTGCAATAACAAATATACACCGAATTACAAAAAGTTTATAAACTCATTTTCAAACAAACAACAAAAAAATTCGTGTTTGCCCATGACCACAATAGAAATAAAAGCTTTTGATTTTCCAATTTTAAATGAGCCATTAAGTATCACTTTACAGAAGGAATTAAAAACTTTGCACGGATCCTTTGTTAATGTTGAGACATTCTGCCATTCACTATTATATTTAAAACATATGTAACATTTATATTAATATAATTTTATTATTATAATACATTAATAAAAACTGGTGCTCTTATTGCAGAGGAGTCGAGTGGAAGTAGGGTAGCCGAAGTACTACTACTACTACTACTGATGATGATGACTCCGTGGCGCGGTTTGGTTCGGTATTTGCTTCGGTGACTGAGGTCGTGGGTTCGATACCAACACGAGACAACTATTTATGCGACCTATAGATAATTGTTTCCGATTTGGGCGTTAAAATTATCTTACAGCATAGAAGAATGTTTTCCTACAGTAAAGCGGCAACGTTTCGAAGGGAAGGCTACGACATATGTTCTAGGTCGCAGTGGTCTTGGGACTTACTACCCAAGACCCAACCCCTTTCACTGTTCACTTTCGTTCACTCCTCAAAAAAAACGCGCCTAATAAATAATGTGAGAAGGTGGCAAGCGGGCTGGCGGTTCATCTGATGTTATTAAATAACCGACGCCAATGGACATTTGCAAAACTCGTACGATTGCAGATGCGTTGCCACCTTTTAATAAAGTCGCCCCATCTACCTCACTCACCAGACACAACGCAGAAGTATAATACTTCCACTTCACGCCGGTCTTCTGGGAGGTCATGGTACATACCAGGACGGACCTGCCCATTCGTGCAACTACTACTAACCTACCCCAGTTGTAGATAACAAACAAGCATACCAACGAACACGGCCGTACTGAGCGCCATACAACGTTGACCGGCCGCTCCAAATGCAGCTCCCGCCAGCTGGTTTAGTGTGTGCTCCTTATTTGCGTCGGGCATTATTACTCCGTGGTTTTTAGCGCCCATGTTGCTTTGAACCCGCTTACCTTTAACCAATGTTGTTCACAATATCAATGAAAACATTAAATAAATTAGGTTGTATTCATGTTTAGGCTCATAAGTTTCAAAACTAAACATAATTAGATATGGTATACAATTTTGGAATCCTATATTAGTTTTCGCTACTATTACAACTCATATTTACAGACAACCACAAAACAAAGTAGTAGAGTGAACAGGGTCATCATTTTTTCTGATACCAAGCCACTATTCACTATTACTCTTCTGTTTCTTCTGCATAATAATGACTTGTACCACATAAACCTTATAGACTTCTATATTTAAAAAAACTATTTTCGTCACTGAGTCGGAGCCTATTTAACGAGTTGACATCCTTACAGCATGTCGAGCAAGGCTTTTAGAATCACACCAGCTGTGTTGTGTCAAAATGCAAACGCGACTCGGTGGATCATAATTGGTAAACTGGAGTAGATACTTGACTGTAGAACCCTTTTAAATATTTATCAAAGTAAATATTAAACTTCTAAAAATCCTATTACCACTGTTACTTTATTGTATCAAATGATAACATATGCTTGCGACATTTAAAATGTATGGATGTAATTCTAGATTCAACACTATAAAATGTTGTTCATTACAAATATAAGTGCTGTCTTATCACATACTTAGTGGTAAAGAAAACATTGTGAGGAAGCCTGCATATTTTCGAAATAATGATAATGAAAATATTTCTAAAATATCAAGGTCTCGTTGCCTATCGCCGAAAAAGGATACAGTCTTTCCAGTTGTATCTACATTATACAACAAGACTGTTCGCCGACTGATGTTGCATAGCAAGATTCTGCTCCGCTTTCCATGCTTGTTACACTAGTTTATATGCGATGCAGAGTCCTGGTTTCTCTTACCAATGCTCTTCTATTATAAGCATTAAATATAGAGCTGGCACTTCACTGCCAGAGCTACTCAAATATGACAATAAAATTCTCTCTCTTTGCAAATAGACTTGCTTATCCTTGTTTTTTTTACCACATTTGAATAAAACTGAAGAATGAATAAAACCTTAATTTTAGTAAATATACATAAAAAATTAACAAGAATAAAATACCAGCTGCCGATGCTCTTGTGTAGATATGTTTTCCGGCACCATCTCCTCCAACAAATGACACAGCTTTGATATCTGGCTCATCACAGAAAAAGTTCACAGGGTCATGTGTACCATGGACAACCTTTAAAACAATATAAATGTAGTATTACTTTTTCATTTATATTAATAAATACATTTCTAACTTATTTCTTAACTTGTGCATGAGCATATTTTGCAACAATGTGGGCTTTTATTACACATTCACACACTTTACCCCATGAACAACCTATTTACTTTTTGTAGACGAAACCTTGTGGCTTTGCAATCGGCTTGTCATTTTCAATTTTAGTAAGACTAAACAAGATTCAAACTTACGTTAACAAGACCAGCAGGGGCACCGGCTTCCTGCAGCAACTCCATCATAAGCAAAGTTGCTCCAGGATCCTGCTCTGAAGGTTTGATGAGACAAGTGTTGCCAGTTACTATTGCAGGTGGAAACATCCAAAGAGGTATCATAACAGGAAAATTGAAAGCTGCAACACCTAATAAAAAATAAAAGAATGATTTTAATTTAGCAAGCCAAATGCCTTACCAACATTGAAAACTATTAATAAAAATGTACAAATCCACCAGTATTTGCATAGTCATATTTTTATTAATAAAAAAAATCTATTTTTAGGTAATACTCAAGAAACAAAAAGCCATGATAGATCAGAGGAAGAGTAAGATCCTCTTTTACCTTTTTAATTATTGTGACTACTTACCAGCAACAACACCAAGAGGCACTTTGTAGCTATGCGTGTCCATATCCTTAGCAATGTTTTGGATGCAGTCACCAAGTTGTAATGATGTAATGCTGCAACAATGCTCTACCAGCTCTAAAAAATAAATGCAATAACGAAATTGAACTATTAAATTATTAAGGTAAATGTGATTTACATAAAAAAGCTGAACATTTTATTTGAAAAAATAAATTGCTCTTATAAAAAACTTGATTAGGTAAATTATCTACACTACATTATAATTATAATATACATGTATACTAAAATTATTTTATAAAGTGTTTGCCTAAAGTGATTTTCAATATAAAATGAAGTGGAACTCCTTAACCCGCATCAAGAAAACATTAATAATGTAACATGTGATATTTTACTTTTATTGAAGGTACATATTTTTTTAATGGCATTAGCAGGATAAAAGAAATATCTTCATTATGTTAATACTATCAAATGACACCAATATGTACTGAATACTTACGTATTCCTCTGAGGACATCACCCTCTGCATCAGCCGTTGTCTTTCCTTGTTCTTCGGTTATTTTTGCCGCCAATTTGCTTTGATTTTCGCGGAGCAAACGGGCAAACCTACAATAATGTTTGTCTAGAATAACCTTTTTCTAGAATAACCTTTTTCTAGAATAACCATTTTCCTATTTACTTTAGGAGAACTTGATAAAGTAAAATTCGTAAGTAAAAATAAAGTAAATGTGTTTCCATAATTTCTTTACAGAATAATTCTTCAAATTTACTAAACACAAAAGAGGTTGTAACCAGTAAATAAGTGAAGATGGGCATTTTTAATTAAAACTAATATGTGGGCCAATTGTGCTACCAAATGAAAGTTAATATATTTAACTACAAATATCAGTACCATACATGCATAGTAACATGACTTGCATTAATAGTGTTCAACATAATTTACCTACTTGAACATGAGCTGTTGACGTGTCATAATAGTACTTTGGCTCCATGACTTATATGCTTTCTTGGCTGCTTCTAACGCTGTGTTCAGTTCTTCTTTTGTTGTTTCTGGTACCCTGTTAGAAGTTCACTAGTATTACTATTAAGTAAAATATATTTCACAGCATGTTGCATTCACTGGTTATTTTAATATTTATAAAAAAATCCAAGGTTTTCATTAACACATTTTAAACTGCCATAATTTATTTCTTAAAAGTTAAGCAAAATGTTGTCACTGATCGAAATTAAAACAGGTGACAAAATATTCAAGCAGGTAGTACATAACATTATGTTATTAATACAGTCTTACCTTCCAATAACTTCATTTGTTGCAGGGTTTGTTAATTCAATCCAATTGTTAGTGTTAGAATCAACAAACTGCCCATCAATAAAGATCTTTGTAGCTGGTGCCAAGCTGCTGTAGCCTCTACGTACAATTACTTGAGACTGAACAATTATATTATTTTAATTAAATTGTTCTTTGACAGGGAAACATACAGTAAACCAAACTTTGTACTTAAAATTCAATTATGATGCATGAAGGATTATTTCAAAACGTTCTATGTGAATTATTAATGAAAAAATGATGAAACCTGGTGAGACAAATATTCTGCTGCGTAACATCCAAAGATGAATAATGTAAATATTTTAAATAACAAATTACGTGAATGATGTATCAAGACTCCCGTTTGTCTCAAGAAAAACAAATTTCACCGGTTAATACAGTAACCGGTTTACAGTGGAAAATTTGTCCTTTAAATAAACACATTAACAATTTTATTGATCCATTAATCAATAAAATAATAAGGTTTAGTATAAAATTTTACCTAAGACTTACTTCATATTTAAATATTTTTAACATTTTTGAAGCCATTATTAAATATAAAAAACTTTAACTACGGACTTAGTTGGTGGGTGTGGACCCAATGCAGTACGTACTGATTTAAAATACGAATGTGGTGTTCTGACCTTGTAATGATAAAATTATTCTGATCCGCCGATTGTCGTGTGGGTAGGAGTTTGTTTTGACTTTAATTAAACAGATAACGCTCCGTTTCAATTTAGCATTTAATAGATTCGGAATGAAAAACTAGCCTTACGCACTTTCAATTATTTTATTTTTATTATTATCATAAAATTTTATTACATAATATATTTTAAATTTAAGGATATAGCATTTCTCGTACCTTAACATGAGTACAGAAAAAATAAATGTTTTTTTAGACAATGGATTTATATATAATTCGATATTTATATAAAGCGATTAAACTATAATCTTTAATTCAACTTTGTAAAAAGAGTTGACTGTTTCTGTTTTATTGGGTTTTATTTTAAGACAGAAGCAGACTGAAGTCAGAATTGAGATTAGAATTGAGAATGATAATAATACCAGTATATATGATTTATCTATGGATAATGGGAAAATGCGGAATACACTCAGTTCAACGTATTTGAATCAAAGGATAGTGCTGATAGATGGCGTTAATTCATATTTATTGCAGAATGTTATTATGATTCAGTAAAGTCCCATTTAAAGTAGGTAATTAATTTGGCTAATATACAGTTTATTAAGAATTTCAGATATAAAATTACATTTCAAATTTTAATAGGAAATCACATTTGAATAAAAAAAAAACAATTTTTAATTTTAAATTTCAAGTATTAGTTGACCTAAATAGACAAAAATAATAAAATAGTAAAAAAAAAATCAAGCTATCGCTAGGCCGAACATTCAAAGATAGATGTTATAAAAATCAAACGAGAATATTTAAAAGACTAAAACATTATATCACCGATGAAACAGGTGAAGATAAAAAAGTTAACAATTTGTCATCTGTTCTTCAATGGTAGCTTATAGCTTATGAATCAAAAGTCTCCCCAGAAGAAAAAGTAAGTGGGATTAGTTTAATTACTTTAACTAAGTCCAGATAGCTGTTTTAGATACAAGCGATTAATTTTCAAACATTACAGTTAACTGAGTCAATATTTTGTATTACGCCATTTAATCACATTATAACATATCTATTTATAATATTGGTAAGTAGTTTGCTTTAGTAAAATTATTTTTTATGAAGCCAATTTAATTATTTCAACACATGGGATACATATTAGCATAATATAAGATATATTGCATTGTCAAAATTTTCAATAATTAATAAATTTCTAAGTAGTCTTAAATAAAGCTTAAAAAGACGGAACACTTAATAACATTTAACACTGTAATAAAAGTTAAATTATACAATCTTACAGCTTATAGCATAATTACTACTTGCGGGCTTAATTTTATTCGTTGAGTATAACTACATTTTTAAAAGTCTCTAAAAACTTTAAAATAAATACGTACTCAATATTTTTAGGGTAATGACACCGATTATGTGTTTTAATAAATATTTACACGTTGTTCGTAGATTATAGAATGTGTGATGAATAACTGAATACACGTTAATGTATAAAATTTTTTAGAAATTTTTAAATCAAATATGCACATATATTTGTAAATACAATTTTAAATAATTTGTATACTTTTACTAACATGTAAGAGTTAAAAATCAAGTTGAATTACACATTGGTAATTCATAAAGTTGCGAATAAATAATAAAATATAATTTCATTGAGGCAATTGTAACTTTTCGAAAGCAACTTGACAATTAACTGTTAAGACACTAACTATGTCAATTTAAGTAAATATTATGTCGGGAACATACCGAACTTTACCTTATTCTAGTTTGTCCCACGCTATATAAAGCCGACAAATTGCGCGCAAAATGTGATCGTAACGAATAGCGACGCGGCGCGGCGTGCCAGCGCAGATAAGCGGGCGGGATACGCCGACGCCGTTTCTGTCACGCAGCCCAACCGAAGCGGTCGCTTCGAATAATTAAACCCACGGCCCGCACTGAAATGCGTGAAAACAAGATCACTTGTGCATACGCATACGCACCGCCCGCCTGATAAGCGGTTCGTTGACCGAGCTATCGGTCATGCACGACGCAGCGCTCCGTGGCAAATCACTTACGCATATACACACGCCCGATGAATATAAATTTTAGCACCGCACAGCCGATATCCTACTCGTAAAACGTAAAAATATTACAGCCGTTAATCCCGCATCGGTTTTGATTAACCGCGGCCGGGCGTTATTCGTTTTAGATTTTATCTGCCTTTGGTATTGATGGTCGTATTTGCTTATGTGCCAGTTCGGCGCACTTTACCAATCGTTTATGGGCATACATAATGATAAACTCATAATAAACTCATGCAGTTTTCCGTTTACGTTTTGTTATTATTAACGATTGCACAGAATATTATTCCAATTAAGGAATAATATTCTGTGCAATCGTTACCTCAAGGTTTTCAAGGTACATTTCAAAACTATACGTGCCTGTGCAAAGTAAACGCAAATTAGAAGGTAGAAAAATATTAATATAAGTTATATCTTCTATATACATATACACATATATATATATATATATATATATATATATATATATGTTAATAATTATATTAATAATTCTTCTGTACGTGTGTATGTCACTGAACTTATTCTAAACGGCTGGTCCGCGCTAACGCTAGAACACTGATGCAATGACGCAAAACGAACACACTAATAAATAATAAAAATTATCAAAGCCAAAGTCAAAGTATATTTATTCAATATAGGCCTAACTTAAGCTCTTATTGAACGTCAACAAAAAATCTACCACCGGTTCACTAAATTATAATGTAAGGTTATTTTTTTAACATTATCCTGTGAAAACATTTAGATAGTACGGGTTTTTCAAGTGCTTGTCGATCAGTACAAAGATAATGTTAATGTGAGGACTATCGTCGATGATGTGCGTCGCCGCAGTGTCTGGTTACATTTATTCAACTCACTTTATAATCTTTTTATGCTGCGATGGGCTCAAGGCGGGGCAAATTACAAAAGATAATAGAGAACTGTTTAGTTATTGTTTAGCTATCGATTCTATATTATATTTCTAGATAGTAATAGTTAGTACTTGTTCAGTTCACACGATTTAGTCCGAAACTTAAAATAATTAAGAAAAAATTGTTAATCTAAACCATTCTCGAATCGACCTGAAGACACTAAAAATTTCATTAAAATTGGTCCAGCCCTTTATGAGGACTTCAGTGACATACACACGTACAGTAGAGTTATATATATATAAAGATATTACTAGTACATTTTCATTCGTAAAGTTCGGCGATTGTACCAAGGCGCTCTCGAAATGAGCGCACCATAATATGCAAGTTGCCTCTATCCCGTTTTAGATGAGACACGACCGAAGATGGTTCCCAACTATTTTCGCCGCGTTTGCAGCTGATCGCGATTCCGCGCAGATGTATTGGAACCGCCCCAGACCGGCTTGAATAATTCATAATTTCGAAATATAAAATACTCGTTCCCGCGCATGATTGATGACTGTGGTCGAGGCGGCTTAATGAAGTTTCTGTCTGTTTTATATTTTGAATTGCGTCGAATACTTGAGGTGCTTAGTGACGCGGTTTCAGACGTGGATCTGTATCAAAAATTGTCACAATAGCAGACATATGATGTCGGAGGCTTAACTAGTCCCGGCTGGTATTGGTTAAAGATCTTAAAAATATTTATTTGTTAGACGATTGCGCGGTTTTGAACGTGTAAAATTAGCAGTTAAGCTTTTTTAACAATTTTCAAGCGTCCGGTTTTTTATTCTGTTTTGCATCTTCTATTATACTATATACAACAATATTGCACTACATCCAAATGATGTATAAAAAGAACGATTTAGATATTTTAGATTGTATATTAATTAATCCCATTGATACAGTAGACTTATAATATAATCGGACATTGTTTCATTTACGTCGGCCAATATAATATCTTATCTTAATAATCACGAGTGATAGCCAGAAGGGGGTAACCTCGATTTCGTTTATGGATTAGATCGAATGGATTAAGGAGGTTTACTCTCACTTCTACTCGCTTCAATCAAAATTTATATAAAAACAAAAGGATTTCTTATATGGAGCAAATATATTAGCGGACAGTGTGGCTAAGTATTGTATGCTAAGTAATGGAGTACGTTAGAGGCCGCGCGAATTTCATAATCCGCTCACAAAGGAAAATCTGAAGACGGATATTTTCCATCTATTCGGGTAGCTTTGATTTACCCTTGCTTGTAATTTTATAACTCAATATGCAATACAATTTTTACTTGCCAAATCATTCCGCTTCGTGCTCTCGTACGGAACGGACGTCTCTCTAAGACGGAGGGCACATGCCACCCGAATTAGACGCCACTCGCAACCTCGGTTGCAATTTATATCTTGTGCAAATAGTGCAGTAGTTTAGTGTTAGTGTACTGTTGTGCTCGTAGGCAGGTTCCTGTTTTGTAAGTAGAATCCTACACACACTTCTCGCCTCAGAGGCGGCATTGTTTCATTTATTAACTGTGTGCTTGTTGCAATAGGTGACAGCTAGGTACCCACCCTAGCGCACCTTAAGCGCAGGCAAATTAGTTGTTATTTTTAGGCACACTCCTCCCTGCCGCAAGGTGGGGAGGCTTATTTAGCTCACACACGCCGGCGGGGCTACAAGCCCCAAAGGTACTTACGTCGCGATGGGCTCCCTTTTCGAGGAGTTCGTTCGCAGAGAATGCCCCGCTATGTGGGAACGTTATCTTGCCTATGCAGCCGAGCATAGGCAAGTAGCTGAACTCGCATCGCCGCCATTGCCCGCGCCGTCTGCGCCCGTTACCCCGTCGCCCTCCGCGACCTTAGAAGCCCCCGTCGTTTCGGCATCCGCTAACGCGAACTCGCCCGTAGCGCCTTCCGTGCAACCAAACCCGACCTCTTTCCGCTCCGTCGTACCCGACT